TTCCGAAAATGGGGGGACCCTAATATAGTACCCCAAACAATAGGATCCTTATTATAAGGACCCCAAAATAATAGGATCCTTATTTTTAAGGACCCCAAAATAATAGGATCCTTATTATAAGGACCCCAAAATAATAGGATCCTTATTATAAGGACCCCAAAATAATAGGATCCTTCTTATAAGGACCCCAAAATAGTAGGATCCTTATTATAAGGACCCCAAAATAAGGTACCCCTAATGTTCGGAAACTCTGAAACAGCTCCGAGCTGCTGCATGGCACGCTTTGGCCAAGTCATCCACGAGGGCATAGCCTTGCTGGGCAGAGGCAGGGCTTCAGAGGCTTAGGGTTTAGGGTTTAGGGTCTAGGGTTTAGGGTTTAGGGTTTAGGAATACACCTGTAAAAAGACTTCCCAGCATAACCCAGGAAGGTTCAGTGGTCAAGCACAGCTTTAGTTTGCGCAGGCTGCTAGCTCTTCCCCGCCGCAAAGGATTTTCTGTGGGGAAGGATTCCGTCATGAGCAAGAATCCAATCGGCGAAACCACGCAAATACATACACACAATTGTGCATGCATACATACACACACACACACCCATGCCTGCACACATGCGTGCGTCCCTGCATGCCTGCGTGACTTAGAGACTTAGAGGTCTTGGCTTGTCCTGTTCTTTCCTTAGTGTAGGCAGGGCAGTCATCCACAACCTACCGTCCAGGTCAGCTGATGACGCCCGGGTGACATGAAGTTTTCAGTTTCAGCAATGGTATCCAACCAGCATGATCATGTGATTCGACCCTGGGGTCGGGTGTGTGCGTGTTGTGTGTTGTGTGGTCCGTCGTCTGTTGTCTGTTGTCTGTTGTCTGTTGTGTGTTGTGTGTTGTTGTCTGTTGTTGTCTGTTGTCTGTTGTCTGCTGTCGCCTGTGTGTTGTGTGTTGTGCTGTGTGCTGTGTGCTGTGTGGTGTGTGTTGTGTGCTGTGTGTCCTGCGTTGTGCGTTGTGTGTTGTGGGTTGTGGGTTGTGTGGTGCGTGCTGTGTTGCACGTTGTGTGTGTTGTGTGTTGTGTGTTGTGTGTTGTGTGTTGTGTGTGTTGTGTGTTGTGTGTGTTGTGTGATGTGTGGCGTGTGGCGTGGGGCAGGTATGTGTGTACGTGCATTCGAAGTGTATCTATAACATCTGCGCGTCGTAGCTGTCTACAGTGCTCTTCCCTGAATCTTCCGTGATGTCCGGCCGCCCCTACCCTAGGTGCACCGTTGGGCTGCGAGACTCGCCGAAACCCGAAGCCTCTCTACGTCCAAGTGGCCATCGCTCTGCATGCTCCTGATAAACCGGTCAACACTGTCCGGGACTCTTGCAGCAGAGCAGTAGCGTATAGTCTAGTGAGTCTAGTCATCCTAATCAACCTCGCCATCATCGTCGTCTGTGTAGTGGCGTGCAGTGACGGTGGTCGAGAGGCTCCGTAGTGGTGCTGTAGCGGTGCCGTAGTGGTGCTGCAGTGTGGTGCTGCTGCTGCTGCTGCCGCTGTTGGTGCTGCTGCTGCGGCTGCTGCTGCTGCTCCTGCTGCTCTGCTGCTCTGCTGCTCTGCTGCTCTGCTGCTGCTCTCCTGCTTCTGCAGTGGCGCTGTGGTGGTGTATTAGTCGTCGTCGCGGTGACGGCTGCGTTGCACCAGCCGTCGCCATCGAAGTAGAAGTAGCCACGGCGGCAGTTCAGCTGGAGGAAGCGGTGGAGGGTTAGCAGCAGCATCAAAACAAAGATCTCAAGAGGACTCAGAGGGAAGAAGCACACCACAAGCTTCCGCGTGTCTCCTGAGGCCCTTGTGTCGGAGGAACGCAGCCATCTGCTTCATTAGCCTGCCCTCCTCTTCGACCATGGCTCCGAAAGGGCAGTCAGAGGCAGGGCGGCTGCCCACGCCACGGGCACTTCTTGGAAAGCTGATAGCTGAGTGAACGACGAGGGCAGTTAAACTCAGCAATAGGATGCGAAAGCGATGTTAGCTGCTACGTATGGCTTTACTGGATGTGTGACGTGGATATCAGGAGCCTTGAGCCTATCGAGTCCTTGTCAGCGGTGAAGTGCCGAGGCGTTGCTGCGGTGGCTGCGCACAGAAGGTTGCCAAAGGTTGTTGACGCGTAGCGGGAAACAGAGGCTGTGGGCCTTGCAGGGACATCTCTGAGCATCTCTGGACTCCTTGAAGCAGGATTCTTGCAGCTTTTGTCTCTAGAAGCAGGTTTCTGCTTCCATCAGATCATCAGATGGCCAACTCATTTCGCAACTCGGCATCTCAACGCATACCATCTTCCTTCATACTTCAGGCGAGGCTTTCCGAGAATGACTTGGCCAGGCGTCTCACGACCAGCATCTTTGCTCGTCGAGCAACTTTGCTGAAAGTGTCCCCAGACCCGATGCACAGATACAGAACATCCATAGTAGGGGGGCCAAACATCTGAGGATTCGTTCATCGCAAACCCTGAGAAGATAACAAGTGATTGTGATGCACTTGGAACATACCCACCTTTTTTTGTAAAAAATGCAGGCACGCACGCACATAGATTGCTTTTATTGCTTATCCATCGGGGACTTGCGGCAAAGCAGCAGCTAATTGCACAGTGTGTGAAACCAGGCAGGCTCTCCAACCAAAGCCTAAGCGTCGAAGCCCACCGGTTGGGCATTTCACGGGGTGCAAAGTGGGAGTTTCCGAAAGTTAGGGTACCTTATTTTGGGGTCCTTATAATAAGGATCCTATTATTTAGGGTGCCATGTTAGGGTCCCCTATTTTCGGAAACCCCCAAGTGTTCTAGCCGGGGCTTGGGGTAGAGGACAAAAGAACCCGAACACCACGCTCGAACATGGGCATAGAGAAGCTGAGCCCGAGAAACGGCTCCAGAAAAAAATCCCATAAGCAGCCTCAACGGCCTAAACTTAAACCCTAAACCCTAAACCCTAAACCCTAGTAAGTTGTTGCTAAACGGTCTTCGAGCCTTGCCTGCGAAAACTGGCCTGCAGTAAGGCCGGGCGATTGCTATGGCCCTGACTGTGGGCAGAGCCGACCATTGCTGGAGTTTTAGAGTTTAGGGTTTAGGGCCCTAAACCCTAAAGCCTAAACCCTAAACCCGAAACCGACCATTATGCTGGAAACAGCAGTGACAGCATGTGGGTGGGTTTCTAAAATAGGGTACCGTACTATATTGGGGACCTAAAAAGGGACCCTAATTTAGAGAAGTACCCATGTGACAGAAGCTTTAAGGCTGGTAAAGCTCCACTGTTTCCAGGGACGGCTGGGGCGACTACATGGGTGGTTGTCAAAATTATGGTCCCTTTTTGGGTCCTTATTATAATACGGCACCTATCATTTAGGGTACCCCAAAAGGGACCATAATTTTGACAACTACCCACATGACTGCACATTGCAGTACAGGGGAAACTCCGCTTCGAGTTTCCTTCAAATTAACCCCTGGCTCGCTTTGCATTTGAAGGACAGCTGTCCTGTCTATGCAAGGTCGCAGCAGGGTATCGGGTTGCAGGTCCATTAACGATCCCCTCGTTGCGGGACTCAGCCGAACAGAGGACCTGCAGACAGCCCGTCTGGGGTCGTCTTGGCTTCACAAGGTAGCATCAAACCCTGATTTCAGTCAAACGGCTTGGGATGGATCTCAAGATTCCTTTTGGGCGTGGATATGCGTATGTGCTGGATGAGTTTCACCCCACTCGCACCCGAACTGTTTCTGCGACCTGCAGCAAGGGAGTTGGCATCCGCGTTTGAAAAAAGTATCCGGTTGAGGCACGCGCAGGCTTTTTTCGAGCTTCCAGAGCTGCAGATCTAGAACTCATGGCCAAGAGAGCAGCTTGGAAGTTCAAGATCACACTGCCAGACAATGACACAAGGATGCATTTGGGACTGACTACACCCACTACACTTAACAGAGTTAGCGCTGACAAACTCCATGCAAGGCCGCCAAAAGCTCCATGGGCCCTAAACCCAAGCCTACCCCCAACTCAAGAACAGCTAGCGCAAACGACGACACACATGTTCTTTACCGACCTGTTGGATATTTGGCTCAAACTCTCAGACCGCCCCCGTGAAGTGTTTAAAGCAAAGCCACTAAACCCACAACCCTAAACCCCAAACCCAAAACCTTAAGGTCTCGACAAAACCCACAACCCTAAACCCCAAACCCAAAACCTAAGGTCTCGACAAAACCCACAACCCTAAACCCCAAACCCAAAACCTGAAGGTCTCGACGTGCTAAGCCTTACAACGTCCTGCAAAGTCCTGCCTCTCCGCGGAGAAGGGCTCAAGGAATTAGGTCGACCTCGGTCGCTGGAGATGCTCATGCAGCCCCCTAAACCTTTTGTTGAACCCAGACTCTGCCACCCTAAACCTACTTAAACCCTTCTTGCATCCAGGCCTATTGCAACTGCCGGGTATCATGGCTGCAAAAAGTTAGAGCAGGCTTTGGCGGGTCTCAACGGCTGTGGCCGCACTTGGGCGGCTTACAGGTCAAGGCGTGGTCGCCTTAGCCCTCCGTCTTTCGATACTTAGGGTTTAGGGTTTAGGATGCGATACTTGGAGGATCATGGGACTTAGTAAGTATGGTTATAAGTGCCTTAATTGGGGCTATAAGTAGTTATAAGTATAGTTACCCTAATAATAACCTTAGTTACTAAGTCCCATGATCCTTTAAGTACTATCAGAGGATGCGTCTTTCTCTCCATGGGTGCATGCAGGAACCGACACAAGCCTGAGCCAGAAGGAGGCTTTGGGATTTTGGGATGTTGACGAGCCGGACTTTCTAGGGAAGACTGCGAGCTCTCGTAATTAAATCCTAGAGTTTAGTTTAGTGTTAACCCTAAACTAAAGAACTTGGTGTGCAAGGCGTGAGGATTCGAGGCTTGGCGTCTGGGTTGTCGCACTCCTAAAGACCAGCTGATTCGACTATTCTTGCATTGCTTCCCCGATCGCTGTCGACTCTTGGTGCGCGGCTGCCCTTGGCACGGTCACTCCCAGACCCAGAGGGAGGGGACGGTGAAGCTGAAGGTGAAGGTGAGTCCAACCTGCAACGTGCTTCGTCTCGCCAGGGAGCTCAAAAAGGGGCATGAGGAAGCTTTCCAGGCCTCACCGATGGCCTCCTAGACCCCTGCGACTCCGCCGCAACGCCCAGCAGAGTGTCCTTTTTGTCCACAACCCCAAGCACGTACGCCGCCAGCAGAAAGGCCCTATGCCGTTTGCCAGCCAAGGCACGGTACTGCCGCCGCGGTAAGGGTTGTCAGCACCCGCTTTGTGGTGGCTCTTGCCCCTTGTCCGGAGGAGCTCTCATGTGCTGTGCCTACTAAGCCCTACTACTTGGAGGATCATGGGACTTAGTAAGTACGCTTGTAAGTGCCTTAATTGGGTTAGTTATAAGTAGCTAAAAGTATAGTTACTCTAATAATAACCTTAGTTACTAAGTCCCATGATCCTTTAACTAGTCGTCCCCCTCCGACTCTGCAGCGGCCCAAGGCCGGTGCTGCGGAGACGTTTGGCTTGAGGAGCCGAGAGCCATGGAGCTCAAAGCAATGGAAGCCTCAGGATCTAAGGTTGAACCCATGGGCC